CATATGTATGTATGTATACATATCCTCTATCATAAACTTTCCATCACACATCTTAAACCACATTAAGAAGCCCATGTTCCCATTACAATAAACGCACCCGCTCCCCTTCACCCCTGCACATCTACCCTCCCCTAACCCAAGCATAGTCCCTTAGTCCAAGCCCCAATTGGCGATTTACATTTTCAGTTCTTTCACTGTCCTTGTCGCTGTCGCTTCTGCTGCTCCTATTATAGTCCTTCTTGCTGTCTTCAGGTCCAGTTGTGTCTCTGTCCTTTTCGTTCTCCCTGTCCACTTCCCCTCCCATGGGGGTCTTTGAAAAACCTGTGCTGGGTGTCACTTTTCCAGGTGGAGTTGACTGCGTCTTCTTCATCCTCTCTCAACAATTTCTAGTGGTAGGAATAGAGTGCACTCAGAAACATTCTAACACAGTCTGTTTCCTTGAGCTTGGAGTGCCTGTATAGCAGGAGGTTCCCATATTGCCACAGGGTGCTTCTGATGCAAAACACAAAATAGTCAAAGCACGTTGTTTGGGACCCCTGCTGCTCAATCAGGTGTCCATACAGTGCCACCTCCCTTGTCATTGACCTGACACACAGTTTCATAGTTTCATAGTTTCTAGGGTCGGAAGGGACCTGAGCAGATCATCTAGTTCGACCCCCTGCCATGGCAGGAAAGAGTACTGGGGTCAAACGACCCCAGTAAGGTGGTCATCCAACCAGTAAGGTGGTCATCCAACCACCTGTCACTCCTTCAAGGAGTCGGCTTACCTTTTCCCACACACCCTTGGCATATAGGCAGTGCCATAGGAGGTGGACAATAGTCTCTGTTTCTTCTTGGCAGGTTTCCCTGGTGCAAATGAGCCAAATCCCTCATCCCTCCCTATACCTCCATGCCCTAACTGGGAGTATTCAGTGTTCTGTTAACCAATTCATGTCCCTGTGGTCCTTGCAGAGGTCCTTGTGAAAGACCCCATTCCAGATGGCTTGGCAGTTCTCACTGGGGAGTGCCTCCATGGTTGATAATCTGTCACTGCCCCTGACTGCTTTCCATATCTTTTTGTGGTTGGACATAGTCACCAGGCTTTCCTTCTGTAGCCCATACTCACTCTGGAACTCATTCAGGACCCTGTAGAACCAGAGATGCTCCCTGATTTATGGTTTCCAGGTCGTAAGCGTAAACACCCCCCACCATCTTAGGAGGTAACCTGCAAAGACCTTTACTAGACAGCCTGTTTTGGTTTCTGACCCAATAACCATGCCACCAGGATAGATTAGTACAACCTATTTTTTAATAGATTTGAATAAAACACGTGTAGTAACTGCTGAGCACATTCCCCTCTGCAATGACTCTTTTTAAAGTTATGGTGAGCCACTATATTGAATGTATTTCAACATCCTCTTCACTCCCACAGCTAAGCCACACTTTTTGTTCCCATTTCCAATTATTCCTGTTTCTTCACAAGCCTTAAGGACTGAATGCGTGTACATCCTTTTGGGAACATAAAGGGTTCAGGAAGTGTGGCATCCCAGGAGATGGTCTGGGTAAGACAGCAGCAGGAAGTGTGGCATCCCAGGAGATGGTCTGGGTAAGACAGCAGCAGGAACTCCATGGCATTGCTGATTTTGGAGAAAAGGGTGTGTGTTGTATGTGAGAAAATGTGGTAACTAAGATAAGAGTTGTGTTACAGTATCATATATTGTGAAATCCTAGCTCTATTTAAGTCAATGACAAAACTCCAAATAACTTTAAAAGAGGCAGGATCTCACTCCAGATTTCAGTGTTCTTCCTTGATCTGTTGTATTGACATCTTGAACAGACTGACAAGAAGCATATTAACTCTAGCTATAATATCTCTTTTGCCTGCCCTAGATGATAAGATTTACATTATATGTAAGATAGACCAGGTATGGTTAGTTAATTAAATTCTCTCTAATTACTTGAACAAGAGATATTGGAAAATAAATTATACAAAAAGAATAAAAGAGGTAGTTCTTGAGAAAGTAAGTTGGTTGACATTGAAATTTCTGTCCTGTTAGAAAGTCAGTCAGACATTTCAAAAGCTTTTCTTTTTTTTCAATCTGGGGTGAAAAAATTGTATTATCTTCTTTTTTCACAGAAGAAAAATTTTGAAAAGAATGATTATGTATAATTTATTTCAACATTTAAAAACAATTTAACATTTGACATTGTTTTGACATTTAGAAACAATCCCAGACTGAAAGTGTTCTCTTTTCTTTAAAGTTTGATTTGAGATCAGTTTGGATCACCCCCCCAACCTAAATTATCAGAGTACCTTACATGAGTTATAGTTCCAATTCCCCATTTCCCTATTTTCCTCAATGAGTCAGTGCCCCTGGCTGAACTACAACTCCCTTGGTACACTATCATTATGATATATGGTACACTATGACTCCTATGACATATGTTCAGCACTTCATGAGAGTTGCATTGTTGTCATGGCCTATGAAAGAGGAGGAGGACAGGGAGACCTGAACTACAACTTCTGTGAGGCATTGCAGCAATTCAACCAGACATTAATTAATAGCAATTTGACAGGAAGAAATGTCCTGGATCATTAAGTCCAGTCCACCCTTATTATATTAAATTTCATCATATTATCTACTATTCCACAACTTGGGGGGGTCATCTAGTTCTTCCTGTATGATATATTAGTCTTCTCTCTACTGACGGAGCATCCCAACTAATGTAGAACTCAATTTAATTTTTTTTATTACATTCAGTTTGTCATAAAAAAAAAGGTTTGGATTAAAGAGGACTCCAAATGGAATATTACTTTTTATTTCTCTGATGGAAGGTTTTTTTTTTCCCCTCATGGAAATATTGGAATGATGTGGCCCTCTGTGTTAGATCGAAATAGAGGGTGTGTCCAAGCATTACAATGGAATTTCAGTTCTTCTGGTAGAAACCCAAAGTGTACAAATGTTCACACAGTTTCACCTGGACCAAAAATGGCACATGTGGTAGACAAATCTACCACCTCCAATGAGGCAGAAGTGACCTCCAGTGGAGTTTCTGTAGGGTGAAGAAAAGCTTACAAACACCCTACAGCTAGAAGCTGTCACAATGCCATCCAAAATCCCATCATACATTGCTCTAGCCCTACCCTTCCCCTCCAGATAGTCTGTGTATCAGGCTGGACTCCACTCTAGCCAAATACATTGCAAAACACTCCCTCTGACTTCCTCAGAGCTAATAAAACCCAACCCCTTTCACAAGCCTTGCACATTGCTCCAGGACTACAGGGAAACTGTGGGGCCAAGGAAACTGTGTCCCTGCACATGACACAAACCTCCAGACTCTCAAGACCCATAATCACACCCAAAGACCCAGACTAAACCCAAAGATCCAATTCTAGTTCCAAGAACCCTGTTTCAAAGACCTTGACCTAGATACAAACACACAGACCCAAAGACCACCAGACCAAGATACCCTTTTTCTGTGGCTGATACAAACTGTTCCAAGCATGGTTTAGCTCCATTGCCCGTGTGCACAATCCTCATCTGTCTGGGAAAAGTGACCAGATCACTTTGGACTGGCAGGAAGGTGACCCTAGAAAGTTCAGGGCATGGGTATGCATGGCCAAACAAGTTTGAGTCACTCTGGATACATCCAGCCAGACTCAGGCTCACTTGGGGGGAAAAGAGATCCATGTGTCTAGACCCAGACCCATGCATTCTGACCTATGTCCATATGCTCACACCCAAACACACCTGATTACATTTTTTGAAAATGTTGCCAATCAATGGTTTTTATTAAAGTAAGCTATATATAGAAAATAAGCTATATGGAAAAAAAAAAAACTAATAAAGAAAAGGCAAACTCTTTCCTACATGGTATTTCCCTGCATCTGCTTCCCAAGGCTGGCATCTCCTGCCCCCTCATGCTGCTCCAAGAAAAAAAAACATTTCTGTGAGCCCTGCAGATAGGGAAAATGAGGCTGCTTTTTATGCAGTTTTCCCACCCAGGGTTGGAATTCAGCTGGCTACAGCTTCTAGCCCCCTGAGTCCCTCTTACCTTAGTCCCATGCATGGGTGGCACTCCATGTCCCAACATACCAGTGCTCCCCTGACCATGACTTTCTGTTTGTTGACATACCCTGGGCAATGATGCCCTGGCAAGGGTGCACCATGGCTTGCCCCAGTGTGCTGCATTTTCTCCACTTAGGTTTTCAGAAAAATTCTTCCTGGCCTTGCAGCTGTTGTGGAGAATGCAGACAGAGGCAATGATGCATACCAAATACTTCTCAGATGTACTGAGGTGTATGCCCAGAGACCTCTAGCATAGCTTGAGGCAGGTGAAGGCTCAGGTGTCACATGTGAGAGTCATGTGACACCTACTGAGGCAGCGATTAATGTGGTCCTTCCTCAATGGATCCAGCTCAGTGACAATCTCCATTAAGGAAGATGCTGAACGTCTGCTGCCACTATTTATCACCCCAGGTTGCCAGGATGATGTGCTTCTGCTTGTACCAGGCACTTGTCTTTTAGACCTCATGAAGCAGTGGCCAATTGTCTGGAGGTGCTTCCAGAGCACCGCAGGCTGGATGACATCCAATAGAATCTTGTCTTCCTTAGCCATGTGCAAGTCATCAGCAATATCCAGAAGTCCGGGTGTCATAAACTCCAGTAAGTGGCCCCGTGTGGTAATATATGCCTTGAATGCCTGCACAAGATATGCACTAGCATGAGCACTTGTCAAGTCACCTCATGATGGACAAACCAAATCTCCCCAAGTCTACATCAAGAGGAGAGCAGCACAGCTCCTGGGTCTATTGGCTTCTTTGAGAGGGATAGGAGCTGGCCAAAGTCTTTGTGAAACCCCTGGAGAAACTCTTCCACAACTCGTGGTGCTCTGGAGAAGGCCCTGAGGACTGGAAGAGGGCTAATGTTGTGCCCATCCACAAGAAGGGCAGGAGTGAGCACCCGATTAAAACTATAGGCCAATCAGCCTAACTTCCGTTCTAGGGAAAATCCTAGAGAAGTTCATCAACGGGTCTATATCTGCGATAAGCTTGCAAAAGGTAATATTCTGAATGACAGGCAGCATGGCTTTCTTAAGTTCTTTCTTAAACAGAAATTGACACATTTAAACTAACAAGAGAAAGGCACACTCCAGGTCTTATATCTGGAAGCCTCACATCACGGAAAAAGGGAGGGAAGGCTGTGTTAGGAGTGGGTGTGTGGTCCCCTGGGCCAAAAGTCAGTCAGGGGTGCCCTCTGCACTTGGCTGCTCTCAGCAGTCTTTGGCTCACGGGGAATCCAAAAAGTACACTTGGATGTCTTCACAAGAGTCCACTGGGTGTGGGTCATTGGCAATTCAGGTTGCAGCACCTGCACAGACCCTCACATGCTTGTACAATACTCTATCCGGAAGTTTTCTAACCTGAAAAAAAACCCACTAGATTTCCTGTGGTTCATCTGAATGCCTGTATATGCCCAGAATGAATGCAAATATTGAAATTCTCTATAAAATAGAATTACCATTTTTAGTCCAGGTCTAGTTTAGTGAGACAAAAATCCTGCATATCTCTTCACAGTGGAAAATAAACTTCCTTATTTAATTATAAACCTCAAGACTGATTAATATTTCAATACTAATCGTTCTGAAAATGGTAAAACCGGAACACTAGTAACTTTAAAAACAAAGGGAGAGTTGAAGAGTGCTGAGAACATAACTGAAAGTTGGAAGGCTTTTCTAACCTTGTGGTTAATAGCAATACTAATATTAATGATGATGAATTATGTTAGCATACAGCTTTCAGAGGGGCTGTTTGGGTGAAAGGGCTCTGTAATAATAAGAATTGCTTGAGATAGTATCCCTGACTTACTGGATTTTCCTTGGGGAGAGAGCAGTCATAGAGCCCTGGAAGTATGCCACCAACAATATTCAGTTAATTTTGCTCATTAACAGGTGCTAATAACTGGATATACTGTTGGATACATAGCTTGATTTCATCCTCTTAGGTAATGATGAGCTCCAAATATGGGCTCCAAATAAGAACTTATACCAAACTTACACTATTTTCAGAGACGTAACTCAGAAGATTGAGGTTGGTGTTCTATTTTTTTGCTATTGATTATTTCACAAGGGTACTGCCTTTAGGTTTGCTAGTGATTAGTATTTAATTTCACAAGTTTTAATATACAAGCTTATGTTAAATTAGAGACATGGGAAAATATGGGGGGGATTCCTTTGCAAAACCAAACACATTTATTTCACATCCCCCCACCCCACCCCGCTTCCTCAGTAAATGACTAAAATATCACTCAGTACTATGCAGTACTATGTTATGTTTGCTTCAGGGTGCTGAATTGCTTGGCATTGTGTATGCTGCTGTCTGTTTTCCTTCATCTTGCATATTTCCTTTTATTATTTTTTACCTTCAACACATAGGAATGTTTCCTTCAATATTTGGATGCTGATGATTGGCAGTGGACATAACTCATTCTTCTGTTGAGAAGATATATGGCATTTGATGGGAACCAATTAGGATCAGTGTCAACACATGGTTTCCAACAAATGACATGGTAAATCCTTGACAGAATAATAAGGTGCATTTGATATGAATCACTGAAGAGCTATACCTCTCCAGGCAACCATTTCATGCACCAAACAAGAAGTTAAGATAATGGCTGTTTGTTCTTCATTTAAGTACACTTCCTTTGAGGCAGTAGAAATTGCCTCAAAGGAAACTATGTTCTCTATTCAATTTAATTACACCTGACTCCACTTTTCAAGTTGTCAGAACCAATTCACATGTTTTATGATTTATTGTGTTAATAGTTTCAAATTAAGTGTGTCCACTATATAGCTGAGCAAATGAAAATTGTACAGGTAAGTTGCAAACCTACGCGATATGATCACATTGATACATGCAATTAATGACTGAAATTATTTTTGCCTTAGAAATTGGCCAGGTGTGCTTTACATCTGTGCAACGGGGCTTGAGACCCAATCATAGTATATTTGCACAGGAGCAAATGTCAACCTAAGTTACAAGTCAGTGTAGAATTAGGAATGTTATATTTGTGCATACTGTTATCTTAGGTTGCGATTATGAGAGGCTAAGTCCATTTTGTTTTTTCTTTGTGTATGAGACTCCTGACAAATGTATCTGAATATTGTTGTTTGAATGCTATTTAATTCATGCTGAATGACATATAATAGTCACATTTCTGTCAAATAATTTCTGTAGGATCTGCTCTACTTTCATTGGACTTAGCATACAGTAGTTTTCTGTTTTCTCTTTATTTAAGTTCTTGAAAGCGATATCCACCACCCAATTTACCCTTTCCCTTTTTATATTTATCCCCAGCCTGCCTTATAATATTAATCCATTTGTTTAAATTTGAGTTATCCATAATGAACTGTATTTTTCATGCTTTCATATTTGGATGTTTAGACTTTTTTAGCTAAAGACTATTAAACCCAAGGAAAATTGCATACCATGGATGATTATGTGAAACAAACTTTGCTCTGTATCCTTTAAGCCAGTATAATTCACATTGCTTTCTACTGACTTCTAACAACTTTCAGTTCATGTTTTTTGTCAGTTGCTTCATCATTATTTTTAATTAGCTGAAGAACTGACTTGTATCTCTTGGTATATGTCTACCAGAATGCTGTCCTGTTTATAACATCTCAGTCACAATTGCTTTTTCCTGTACCAGTTATTCTTTTCCATCAGTGATCATCATTATTATAATTGCTGGAAAACTCACCAGTTCTGGATAGTTGAAGCATTTCAGCCATAAGGACCAGATGCCAGTCCATGCTAGTTTTTATTGGCTTGTTCTGCATTTTACTGACTTTTGATTTTTTGCATTGTTCAGTATTTATAGTTAAAAAAATAATTTTTGTTTACTCCTCAGTTCCATCAGTAGTAGTACTGGTAGTAATCATACTAATAACCCCCTGGCTGATTCCCAGTTATTGTCTATTAGAACCATACCTTCTATTGCCAATACAGGGAAAATAAAATTACTTTTTATAAAAGAGTCAGTAAAATAGAGGACAAGTTGTCCCTCTTTTTTTCTCTTCTTTTCCTTTCTTACCTTCATGTAGGTTTCTTAAAGGAGAGAAGTTTCTTCCAAACTAAATAAACAAAGGCATTATATTATATTTAATATTCCTGTGATTATGCAACTCACCTGGGACAAAGGAAACCTGTTTTCATTCCTCCCTCATATCTCATTTTGAGCAGATGTCCCATATCCTAAGTGCACCTCTGACCTTCTTGCCTATGAGGCATTCTGGGATGGGGTGGATTATTTTCAAATTGTCTTTTTGGAGCTGTTCTTCTTTGTAATGATTAACAAGGCCTCAAATGAATTCTCCCAATTTACACCAGAGTGCTCTAACCAATGGGCTGTAGATTCAATATATTTCTTCTTCTAACCCAATTTTAAGCAAAGTGTAAATATTTACACAGGTGAGACTGAAAAAGACTCACCTAAAAATTGCCAAAAGATTTGGTTGTCAGAGCTGTCTCCTGCAATGTGGGAGACTTGGGTTTAAGTCCTTGCTCTGATTAAGAATTTTAAACTGTACTTGTGACCTTACAGATGAGTACTATAGGCACTGGGCAATTTGTTAAAATGGAACACATTAGCACTGAAGCTAAGTACAGACAGTCAAAAAGCTCAAGGCTGAATCAATTCTGTCCTTGCAGGTTA